GCTAGTAGGGGCTACCGGATTGATATTAATATTAATATTATTAATATTACAGTAATTAAATTTCGAATAGCCCTTATAATCGAAATTCCTAATTCAGAGTATATTAGGCAATATTATAGGGAGACTATTATTAATAAAGCGCACTTATATTATAACTTAAAACGCCGCTACGGACTAATATAACTACTATAAAAGGGGGGTAGGCAGGGGGCTACTAATATTAGTAAAGCGTATAATCTCGGTTATTATATCCTATATATCGTTCCGGAGGTTATAAATACTACGGGGGATTTCGAGTATGTAGCGGCGTAGCGATAACGAATATTGCGATTTCTCGTTGAATTTTGGAAGGAGAAGACGTTAGTAAAAAAAAAAAAAAAAAAAAAAAAAAAAAAAAAAAAAAAAAAAAAAAAAAAAAAAAAAAAAAAAAAAAAAAAAAAAAAAAAAAAAATGGGAGAGGTAATAAGAAGAAAATAGCGTACCTTTGGTCTAACAAGTGTACGTACCAATTAAACGGAGTATTTCGTATAGGTTTAGGGTTAGAGCGCTAACGAACGTTTAAATTAAAACAATATTATATTTTAAGTAAGTAAGAGGGTAAATATTATTAGAGAATAAGAAAGGAGTAGTTGATTAAAAGTTAGTTATAGATATAAAGTAAAAGGAAGAAAAGGACGGAATAAGAAGGAAGAAAATAGGGAGGATAAATAAATATATTAATCGGGTTTATAAGAGAAATAGGGATTAGTACGTAAGTATATAGTAGAAATATATATATTTATAATAGAGGGTAATTTAGGCGAGGGGGTAGGCGAAGCGGCTATAGAACTAGGAGAGGGGGTAGTAAATATAATTATAAAAGTAAAGTTAGGAAGAAGAAAAGAAGAAAGGCGAAGAGGGTAGGTAGAAGGGATATTATATAAATAAAGGAGGAGGTCCCTATATAAATATAAATTAAAGTAGGCGAGTATAATTTAAAGCGGGCGAATATAAAATAACGTAGGGTAAGTAGAGCGTTAAGTAATTATATAAATAGTAGAAGGGGGTAAATAGAAGAATAAAACGAAAGTAATAATTAGAAGGGGAAGGATAAGATAAGTAGGTAGTAGGGCGGTTATAAGAAGGTAGGAGAGAAAGGCGGAAAATAGGAAGGTATATAATTTGGATAGTAATAAAAAGAATAGGAGAAAGTAATTAGGAATTATATTATTAGAACGGAAGGAATAATACGAGAAATAAAGTAAGGGTAATAAGAGGGCAATTAGGAAAGAATAATATAAATAAAGAAAATTTGCGGAGGAAGTAGTATATAGAATTAGGAGGCGGAAGAAAGAAATAAAGGTCCTAAGGACGGAACCTATAGGGAGGGGGATTATATTTAAGTATTATAGTAAATTATAATTATTTATTAATATTCTTAAATTTAATATAGTATTCCTCGGTAGGTAAAATAAGGCTTACTACTTCGTACGCCTACGGAATAATAGTCTTAGTAACGGTTAGGAACCTAGCTAATTTTTTAAATTTAATACCGGTTTTATATCTACGTTAGAATTTATAAGAATAGATATTATAATACCGATATTTTAGCAGGCGGCATGTTAGTACTTTAAATTTAATACCGGTTTTATATTTATATTAGAATTTATAAGAATAAATATTATAATACTAATATTTTAGTAGGTAGTACGTTAGTATTTTAAATTTAATACCGGTTTTATATCCGCGCTAGAGTTTATAAAAATAGATATTATAATACCGATATTTTAGTAAATAATACGTTAATACTTTAAATTTAATACCGGTTTTATATCTATATTAAAATTTATAAAAATAGATATTATAATGCCGATATTCTAGCGGGCAGCTTCGTATCTATATTTAGAACTTATAAGAATAGATATTATAATACTAATATTTTAGTAGGCAATTTACTATATTTAGAATTTATAAGAATAGATATTATAATACTAATATTCTAGCGGCTAACTTTGTATCCGTATTTGGAATTTGTAAGAATAGATATTATAATACCAATGTTCTAGTAGGCAGCTCGCCGCCTTAGGGGTTTATAAGAATAAATATTACAATACCGATATTTTGACGGCCGGCTTCGTATCTATATTTGGAATTCGGGAAAATAGATATTACAATACCAATATTCTAGCGGGCAGCTTTATATCCGTATTTAGAGCTTAGGAGAAGGAATATTATAAAATTAATATTCTAACAGCGGTTCGCTAGTAGCGAAATAGTTATAATATCCGGGATATAGCGTTGGCGGTTATTACAAATAATAATTCGTCCGAATTAAGGGGCGAAAATATCGTACCCTTACTAGTAATATAGCCCGATAATACTATAATAGTACAATACTAACGCCCTCCGCTATTTAACTAGAATTTATTACGAATTATAAAAGTTCTAAAGACGGAATTTATAAGGAGGGGGGTCGTATTAAGAGGTTTAAAATTCGTATACAAAAGTATTTTAACGGCTATTATTCCCCTTTATTAATTAATATATAGGATTATTAATAATAACGCCTATATTAGGTCGGGTTCGTAGGAAGGATAATCCGGCACCGTATTAAAACATTAAATTAATATAGGGCTCTATAATATTCGTTAATAGATAAATAGAGTTTGTATAGGTATAAAAGAAATTTAATAGAACGTAGTTTATTATAGTCGGTAACTATTAATATATTTTTAAATTAACCCCTAACTTACCGTCCCCTACGTATGGCCACGACCGTAGTCACTTCAGCCTACCTTTCGCTTACATTCCTAACAAATAAACTTAACTACAAACTAAATTTTCCGGTCACTAATTGTTAATTTAAAATTAAAGAGAAATATAACTACTTTTACCATTTTAAAATACTAAAGGAGTAACGCAACACCAAAGTTTTTTTACGCAAATCGACTAAGGAAATACCCTAATAATCTATTACTAGGATAACGCATAGAAAAACCCGCTAGAAAGTATATAAGGGATAATATTAAATAGGAAATCGAAGGAATTTTAATATTTAAAATCTATTATAAATAATTACAATACCGAATAAATTAGCGAAGCTACAACCCTAACCCTGAATACTATAATATACGGAACTTTAAGAATTCGGCCCGTATAATCAAATCCTTCTACGAACAATACCTAAAAAGCCCGGGTCCGCCCAAACAATTAGATACTTAATTAAAAATAATAAAAATAAAGGAATTTAAAAATAACCACAATAATAATAATATAGCTATAAAGAAGGGGGCGCGATTAACAAAGAGAAATATTAATATAAGGAAATAAATTTATATTAAAATCAATTTAAACCGAAGGATAGGGAAGGATATTCAATATACCGCAGTAGATAGTTAATGCAATTAAAAATAACGTAGAGGCCCGGAACTAATTAAATTAATTAAAAACCCGAGGATACCCCCCCTCTATCTAGAAAATGATTATATTCGAATTAAAATAATAGTAATATTTTTTTATTTTTAATTGGTTAACCGGCGTAAGGCCCTACTTTACATGTATCTAACATTGAGTGCAGTTCTCTATACGACTCGGGACGAATCTTTTTCTACCGGGGGGGTAATATGACGGTACTAGCGGATACATTACGGCAGGCATAGTCTACGGACTCGGCTGCCCAACACCGAAGCCACGGGACCGCCATTCACTAGAGGATACACCAGCCACCCGGGCCACAGGGTTAAAACCCTAGACCCCGGACTTACCTTTACACATTTCCCTCTTTCTTCTTCATCTTATAATTCTAGTATAGACCTGGGAATCAACGTATTTAGCTTGTCTCTCGTGACCACGTCGCTCGTAACAATTTGGATCGTCATCCTCGTCCAAAGTCACCCATTATTTCCACATTAAATTATTAATTGCCCAAATCTCATTAGAACCAAGGACATCCTCCCAATCTTCCGGACGAGGGCGAAGCTTTCTTATCTCTTAGCACTATTAAACTCTTTCTCTTTTATTAATAGTATTTCTTTTTATTCTTTTAATTCTTAATCTTCGATAAAAGCTAAGAGAGTAAAGTACTTTCCTTGAAACTTCAAGGCCGGCAATAAAGTAGGGAGGAAGGTAAAGAAGTAAATTATATTAGGAAATAAATTTCCGAGAACGCTCCTCTTTTATCCATTCCTTAAATTTATTTTTTTTAGGAATCTTTAAAAAACTTTATTTTTTTCGCTTTTAGGGAGTAACAGGGCCAATACAAGTAAATTGGACTTGCCGTATAGTAAACCCCATCTTTTCAGCAATATCGGCATAGCGCAAATTAACGTAGTCGCGAAGTGCCCGGATTTAAAGCCGTTCATCCCTTGTTAAATGCCGTGATCCCGTCTTTTTTTAGTCTCTCATGACAGACGTTCAACCTTAGTCAGCCCCCATCCACTTCCCCGCCACCCCGTGGCGCAGTCGTTTTGGACCCACAGGGCCAAATGGTGTGATGTCCGGATTGGTGGGTGGGTGAGGGTGGTGGGCCGGATGTCACAACCATTTGGCCCTGTGGGTCCGAAGAGACGCATAGGCCATCGGAGGTGGCTGAGCGACTGAGACTATCTTTTTTGGTATTGAGGGAGCTGGATTTAGAAGGTCAGGAATAGCGATACCTCGAGGGACGGTAACCGTTGTCATGGTGGAAAAAGTGGTAATGAGGAAATGCTTCCCCCGGCTCCCAAAAATCCAATTTCCAGAATTTAGGTATTTTCCTATAGAAACTACTAGAAGAGTGACATTGTAATACCCTAGTCGGCCGGGCCTTGCCACCCCCACTGATCGGCAAATTCACCGCGCTAACATTTCAAATCCAAGCAGAGGTGTATATCGTCGCCGTCGTCATCGTCATTGTTGAGGACAAAAAACCCTTTTCCTTGCTGCCACTTGAGTGACGGGGCGGCTCGGCACTGTTTCTTGTGTGGCTGCCAGTGTTCTGGCCCCCCTCCCTGGTCCGGTCAAGTCCAGCGCCGCGAAGGTCGAACTCCAAGACGTTATGACTCCTGGTGCCCCCGGCCTTGAGCTTTCGAAGGCACGATGAGCAGGTGCGCAGGCGAAGGGATGAATCGAAATTATCCATCAAACTCTGTAGACCCTGCGAACTATCGGTTTTGCCTCCTTTACGCAACTGGACCGACTTGTGCGGTTCTCGCATGATCTTCACACGTGAGACGGGCCGACTCGAGATGCGAGATCTAGCAATAGATACGTCCTGAGTTTAGATTGTAGAAGGCCTCGTGGAGAATAATGAGGCGACCTGGTTGAAGATATCCTCAATGGGGGCCATAGCGAATGCAGGCGCAGCGTTAAAGATCTCGGCCAGCTTCTGGGGAGCGACGACAGCCTGATGGACATCGTAGTCATCATCCTCCATCCCAACATCCGCGTCCGCGTCCTGCATCTCCTCGTCGCTTGCCTCGCCGTCCTCAACCGCATGATCCACTGGGGCTACGGCACTGGCACTTTCCTCCATGTTGAGATCCGCCAGAGGCTGAAGCATTTGCGCCTGCTCTCCGCTTTCAGTGATGGACCAGATCTGGGCAGCAGAGTCAACTGCGACGAAGCCAGCCGAGTTGGTAGCAGGGAGGACCGCAGTGATGACCTGAGGGAACATCTGAATCAGTTGAGGCACTTCCTCATCGACCGAGAAGACAACAAGCTCTGACTTTGCGCCCTTCTTCAACTTCTCCTGGCTAGAGTTGGGGATAGGGGCAGCGACAGCAAAGGATCGGGACTCCCGGTTGACCGCCAAATGGGTCATCTGCTTGGCAGCCTCTGAAGTCTCCTTCAGGGCGAAGCTGTACTGCACTTCATCTGACACGATGTCGTAGACCGTGAGATCCTCCGAAAGGATGATCAAAGACGAAGAAACGGCCTCGACACCCCGGATATCACCCCTAGACAAATCGGGGATGGTGTCACGAATAGCGCCGGTCGCCGTATCGATAACTACAACAACAGCTCCGGATGAAGGGCCGTAGGCAGCAAAGAGCACAGAGCCGTCTTCAGAGAAGGCAAGGGCACCGCTGCGAGGGGTCTTGGGAGAAACTTCTACCGCCTCTTCCAGTTGCCCATAAGCAGGGAGCTCAACAGCCCGAGAGCATGACCATGTTCGAAGCTGTTGGCCTTCGGGACCGGTTGACGCCAAACCGTCTTTCCTGCGCAGCTTGGGGCTCCAGAAACGTACTACACCGTCAGTGCCAAGAGAAGCAAATCGAGATGAAATGGGGTCGCTGGCCACATCCAGGATGGTCTCGGACTCTGTTGTGAAGTGTGCCTCGTTGATGCGCGAAACGAGCTGCAACGAGTTATCCTCCGCTTCAATCTCCCAGAATTTGAGGTAGATCTCCCGTCTTTCCCGCGAAACTTCGCATGGGGTCTTTGAGCCAGTCAAGAGAGGCTCAAGGTCCCTCTCAGGTGGCTGCCACTCATCTACCGACGCAAGCCATTTCCCATCGTGGGAAAAGGCCATCTTGGTGACTCTAGGCTCAATGATTGGCGCACCCTGGCTTGTCATGTTGGTATCGGTAGGGTTGGTGCGCGCAATGGGATGCTTGCTAACGCCCTGAAACGAGGAGACGTCGAAAACTTGGATAAGTGGTGTGGACGGTGCATTTCCTGTCGAGCTGGCCTGCTGCCCATTGCCGACGCAGAGGAATATTTGTGAAGGGTTGGTAGGGTTACTGGTAGTGATCAAGGGTGTTGAGATTTCGTCGACAGATCTCCAGACACGGCGCACCAGAGACTCCTTCGACGGCTTGTCGCTGAGAACCAAAGACTGAATGCCGGAAACGTAGGTCGTGGGCTTCATCTCAGCGGTCGAGAGCACCATGGCAGAATTGTCGTCGAGGTGGAGAGCGTAGGATGATCCCTTGGGGGAAACGACGATGTTTTCAATAGTTGCTGAAAGGTGAGGTAAGAACTCCCTCTTGCCGGTATCCAACTGCCACAAAACGAGTACGGTTTCGGCACCGCCGGATATCAGATAGTTACCTGTCAAATTGTCAGCACTTTGTCGTCTCCCAGAGACAGTTCACCAGTTCTTACCATCTTCAGACCACTTGACGCTGTGGACGGCCCTGCGGTGCCAATGTAGCTTGCGGGGCTGAATAGGACCCCCCTTGGTCGCGCTGCCGGGTAGTTTCGAGAGAAGGTCACCATAAACGTAGATGGCACCGCGAGCGCATCCGATGACGAGATCAACGAACTGGATTTCTATGCCACCCTTCTTAGTTGTTTGGAGAGTCGGACGAATGTCGAGGCAAGTGACCAAATCCGGCACGCCGAAAGAGTGGAACGCGTATTCGAGGTCATCAACCGCCTTGACGGTCTTTCCCTTGGACTTCAAAGTGCCGATGTGTAGCGTCTCCTTCGCGGCAGCAACAATGAGTCTGCCACCAGCAGCGGAACGAAGCAATTGCGGGTTCTCGTCGTATGTGTGGATAAGCTTGCCGGTCTTCTTACGGAGGGCCTTGAGGTCGTAGGCCACGATTTGCGCCGAGGATTTGGTCAACTTCTGGAGAATGAAAAGGACATCTTCTTGCTTGTCGCGAATGTCGACCGACTCGACGGTCATGTCGAGGACTTTCTTGACGTCAATCGTGAAGGGTGTTTCGGCGCCTTCGCCTGTTGCCCAGTTGAGGTGCCAGATACGGCCATCTGAGCATGCAACCCAGAGGAATTCGGGTGCGCTGGCGGATAGCGCAGACGCGACGATGTGGGGAGAAGAAAGTTCGGCGCCGCTGTCGAGCTTGGTGATGGGAAGGGAGATCCTCCTGACGAGCAGGGAATCCTCAGTGGAATAGACTTGAATTGATGTGTTGTAGGTGATAAGGAGGTATCTAAATCGCATTAGTAGAGCCCCTACCTGGGGGATTGGTCTCAAACGAACCGTTCATCCAAGGAGAATATGGGATCGATGTCGAGCATGCGGCCGCCCATAGGATTTGACACCTTCCATGCCGATGTGTTGCGCGTCGTCAAGGTATTCGAAGCATCCGTAAGTTCCAAATCGCCATTGGCCGTTTGCAGGTCTTTGTTCTCGAAAAGGGTGCTTTCTTGGGAGTCGGTAGTATCGTCAACATTGCCATTGGCGGCAGCAGGCTGGGTCTTTGGTTTCGATCGTTGCCTTTTTTGCGAAGCGGTCGTCTCTTCCTTGGGCTCTCTCTTTCTCTTCTTCAGCGAGGCGGTTTCACCATTCGCATCCATCTTGGACGCCTTCGAGGTCTTGCGAGGGGTGCGTAGCTCCACCATCTTGTCGTTTGAGTATATGACGATGCAAGTCGGGCAAGGAACACACGATTTGTCGTACCGAGCTTCATGTCCGCCTCATCCTCCCAGCAGAAGAAATTTTGGCGGAGTACCCTTCGAAAAGTTAATGTGGGACAGCTTTCTTATCGGCGATAAGGCTGAAGTGACCAATCAGACCCTAGAAAGTCAAATTTGCTGGGGCCTTCCGACCTCACAGGTAAAGTTGCCGCCTCGCCCTTCAAAGTTCATGCTGAAACTTGCACCGTCACTACGACCAAACTTGCACCACCATCTCGCCAGAAGCCGGTCGCTCATCTGCCGCAAATATCGCCATCCCGCCAAACACCTTTTTGTAGGCTTTCGACTCGCTAACAAAAATGATCATTCCAATCCGATGCTTTTCGTGCGGCAAGGTACGCGACGCGACGCGCCCCGCTTCCTCCGCCATTTACCCGTTAACAAGGTTACTGACTTTGGCACATAGGTGGTGGGTGATCTCTGGGAGAGATACCTGCAACTGATCGATGGCGAGGAGATCACCGACGGGTATGCGACATCTACGAACGACTTACGATTTACAAACAACAACAACTGACAGACGATGATTAGTGATGCTCTGGATCAGCTCGGCCTCAAGCGCTACTGCTGCCGTCGCATGGTCATGACCCACGTCGACCTCATCGAGAAGCTTCTCAAGTACGTTCTTGTGGACTCGCCGCGCTGGACCTTGGTGGCTGACTACGCTCTAGGTATACTCCCGATGGCCGCAACGTCAAGAAGATCGAGATGCAGACACGCAATGAGGAACAGGGGATGTAATGTGCCCGAGCGGTCGAAGAATTCATTATCAACTATTCGGGCAAGCCGACTACTCTATCGTCCGGCAAGAGAAAACTGCATGATCATTAGGCGTTTGGGAGTATCAAGACAACTGTACCGGGCAGGGTATAGAAGCGGCCCTGGTCTCGCATCCAGGAGGCCGAAAGCAAGAGCTTGATTTGGTTGTGCTTTTCTTTGGGTTGGAACCTGTGGCGTCAAGGTGCATTTGGGACAACTGTTTCTGGTGTAAGTTCTGTTGGCGGTTAGGTCTACCGGAGCAACATGGCCAGACATAACAGGCTACCTTTTCAGTTTGCAACTACAGTTGAGAGGTTGTGGTACCACGGAGAGGCATCGTCTTCAGCCGGAACCTGGTACTTGCTCCGTGTGGCTAGATGTGTCATAACCAATCACATCTAGTTATCTGCATTGACGACTCACAAGCCGTCATGCTCGCCTGCGCGGTTTCCAACTCCTCGGGTTCGGATGTCTTTTGGGAATGGTGGAAAAGTCTACCGCTTCGGCTGGGCTGGACCGATCGAATTCGAAGCGACGCTCGGATTGGATGGACCTTACAATTTGTGGGGGCATCAAGCCAGTGTAAGGGATGATGGCGCTGGTGAACAAGAGACATTCGCAAAAGGTAGCACGGCCTTCTAAATCACACGTCTCAGTCCATGACATGGGTACAGACTGGGGTGTCATCGGGATAGCCTACGCTATTCGCTCAGATGGGTATGCTGAACGTCATATCTTTCAAAGTATGTCAAATTCAGCGCCCGGTCAACTCTCTCTTCAAAGAATAGTTCATCTGTGTAGCTTCCACATCCGAATTCCTGATAATTGGTTCACCCATGCCCGTGTTCAGTGACTCGAACTGTATGTATGTGGCAGCGAAGCGAGCGTTGGCCCTGTTCCTAGGCCCGGTTTAGACGCCACTCGGTCAGAGATGCTTTTTCGTTGCTCATCGGTAGCAAATATATTTCCCGAAAATGAGCTTTCGGATTGATATGTCTTTACCGATATGGACCTACCCTCCCACCAGCCGTAGACTTGCATCGCCGGTCAGTCTACAACTTACCTAATCCCCCAACCATTCATGTCCGTACAAGTGATGGCACGTAAGTTCTCATTTCCAAGACGGTGTAGGAAAGAATGAAGTTCATACTCAAGTGATCTTACCATATCTGTGTATTAGCCACTTTGCTTCAATGTCTCTAGTCTCCTTTGGTTCGTCTCCCCATCCAGTCTTCCATATCTTTTAGCTGGTCACCGCCGGATCAGTGTTGTTGGGTCTCGAATCCATCCCAGCAAGTGTTCAATATCAACCGGCGCCCCAAAAATTGGGCAAGTTAAATTGGCGTAATGGCTTCTTCCTCGTCTTGACGTGCGTGCAGGTAAGACCAGTTACCAATGGCAAAGCGAAGCATTTTTCCTTCACTGATCGAGATGCGAGACTTTGGCACATCTAACGCTTGCAGTCACCATCTCTCCAGCTTCTCTCCGAATTCATCACAAATTTCTGGGGGTTGAGCTTTCCGCGCGGAACCGTAAGACATTTTTTTTAAATCTTAAAACGCGGTCCGGAGTGCAAGTGGAGAGTTGTCTGCTTGTGAAATCCGGGGTGATCGCGCAAGGTCTACCAGGAATCGATGAACACCCTCTCTGATAGTGGAGATCCTGGTGCTTTGATGAGCCATGGGTTTCCCTGGTACAGTAGATACCCCTGTTTATGCAAGCCCCCCCTTCTGCAAGCACATACAAATTGACCCATTAGTTGCAAATGATTTTGGGGCCCTAGTTCCCGATTTTGTATATAAGTAAGGTACCCCTTAATGCAAAAACCCCCCTTAATGCTAAAATCTCGAGCCGTTCCCTATAGTGCCGGAATTACTTGTATAAACAGGGGTATCTACTGTAAGAAGGGTTGGGTTGGGTCACACCGACCGCCAAGCAGCTAATTTGCGGATCCATCACAGGGTGATGAACTCTCTCTTCCAAAAGCCCGAACCGGCCCCTCAAGAATTGCTTCCCTGTTCAACAACTTTTCCCGCAACCGTTTGCACGTTATCTGGACCCGAGTGTATGGTTCAAGGGCAAGAACCTAGCCGGCGAGCCAGTTTTGTTTCGAACCATGAGAACCATGAGTAAGGAAAATTACCACCAATATCAATTTCCTCTAACCGCCGAGCCGAGCATAAAAACAGCCCTGGGATGCTGGTTGCAAAAACCCGGGCTCATTCTCACTTTGCCTATGCCACGCCGGAATTGGAAACCGTTCGGGCGGTGCTGCCTAAGAAGGGTGCGGTTGATACCAAAAGATTCCATAACACTCCGCCAGTATAGCGACCTTTTGGCCAGCCAGATGAGCGTTTGAACTTCCGGTACTCGAATCCATGCCCTATAACAACGGTCTAGGTCATGTTCTGGAGGATTCATTCTTTCGATGCATCGTACAATAACACAGGTGCCGATTGGACCAGGAGTGGGCATCCTTTCCCCGGGGAACGCCCCAAGAGGCCGATGATTTAGGGCAAGCCTCAAGCCAAGAAACCCCTCGACAAGCTCAGTCGTCAGTACAGTGTGGCACATCTTGGACATGAACGAGGTCTCAATGGTGCTTTCAGCCTTCAGATGCAAACCGTTAACTGCACTGCATTGTAACGGTCGTGTGCCGGTCTTTTCGGGTCCTTCAGGGAAAGTAGTTCAAAGAAAATATAGCCGTTATCCGCGGTATGCTGCAAACGGTACAGATCGGGGGATGCCAGAAACACTGTGCCAGATGCGGCTCTTTGCGTCTGCAAAAGTACAGTTCAATGCTGGTTTGTTCGCGCGGTTCTCGCAACAGGAGTCTGCAAAGATGCACAGAGAAGAACGGGACAGCCAAATCAAAACTAAAATTTGAACACAAATGTATAAAGCGTCCAAAATGTATCTGGTTGATACCAGCTTCTTGTATCACATCTGGTGGAATGGTGGTTGAGTTGTGTAAGTAAAGTGCATGTTGAAGTCCCGCGCTAGTCGTAACGAACACACCACTGTTTCTCGGTTTTGGTAACTAAATGAAATTTGCTGATAGTAAGTACGTACGTGGGCACGGGATGTCTCGAATTTCTATCATTCATGATCTGTCTCGTTCTCAACACAAGCTGGGATCGTTCTGTCATACCTGAGCCAGATCAGGCTACCATATGGTCGATACTACAGAGGCAGAGAAAGGAAGGTCGGTCTCAAAGGCAGATCTTGCACCACCTCGCCATTGGCCATACAGACTCCCAAGGAGACACCAGATCATGGAACAGCGACCAGCAGGTTGGGAACGCGGCGAAGACACACACTTCAGTTCTGATGCCAATTGATGTGCCCCCGAAGAGAGCACTTTGGGCGATCTGATTGGGCCAGAGCCTGCCCCTCGAACGTGAAGTGGGGCTTTTGGGCGTTGAATGCTGAGTGGCCACCAAAGCGAGCTCAACTTCCCTCACTGCATGCTTAAGCGCCGAAGCCTGTCACCACCACATGCAGGCTGTCGGTTCCATGGGCAAAAGAACGCTGCGACTCTGCCACATTTGGTTGTGGTTGAGCAACATTTATTACCACCACCCAAGAGAGATTCTTTTCCAGCATAGAAAGGACCACGCAGTGTCCCTGGCACCTTTGCGACGGAGTCCTGTTGATGAAGGTGCGGCAGCAACTGTCACTTTTGCAGGTTCATGCCATCTTCTTTATTAGGTGCTTCATTACTTACTACATAGAGGTACAGTAAGGTAGAATAGGTAGGTAGGTACTGTGCAGTACCTACTTCCATTCTTACCAAACTGAACTTGAAGGCGATAGCTTGTTGTCTGGTCGCCTAGAGGTAATACCTAGGTAGGTAACCTCAAGATGAACTGTCCCCTAATAGTCCTTTGAGATGAGATCCCTGGCATCACGATTCGACAAACTTCACATTGACGGGAGTTAGGTACTTCTAGTCATATGTATCTCATTGACATTTACCTGCGTATCTAGAGTCACCCTCTTCTTCTCCTAAGCCGTAGGGTTCAAGTTGTTTTAAATCTCATCCACTTTAATTCACTGTGTTAGTGCCCGATAGTGCCATAGCCTGGCGGTTGCGACTTGCAGAATGGAGCTTTATAAGTCGAAGTGGCTCCTTCCCGCAAGCAGGGACGAGCAGGGACTCCAACTGCAACGGGCAGGGACAAGGGCAGCAACACATGGGAACGTCGTGAGCGATAGGCGGAGTCGAGTGGACGCTGCCCTGGAAGGGTGGAAGCCCGCACCGAACCTCCCACTGGCGGGGACTCTTCCCGCTGCCAGCAACCTGAACCTCCATCTCTTCACCTCCGCTCTTTGGGCTGCCGGCTCTCTCCGCTTGGCTGCCCGTGAGGTTACAGCGAATCCAGCTTCTTGTCTTAAGCGCAGGCGGCGTTCCTCCCCTCACAAACCCTCAAAAGTGCACCAAAGCCCCGGCCAGATCGTACAGTAGCCGAGTACCTATTCCATTCCGTCCAGTCTTCTCACTGGCTGCCCGTCCCATTACTCTCCCACCTGAACGACAACCCAGCAAGACTCGGCGCTGAGTGGAAGAGAAAGAACTGGGTCGGCTTGATCTATCATTACGTAGATTTTGGGGGTTTTTTTTTTTCCTCTGGCAACCATCCTGTCAGCTCTTTGTTTCCACCATTCGTTTCATCTCTGGTTTGTTTCGTTGTTTCTTCCTTTTCCAGAAGCACCATCGTCGCCCATCGTCGCCCAGTCCTTCCGTTGGAACTTAGATTGCGACCCGCGAGTCGCAAACCTAGCACAGCACCTCGGCCGCCTTGAAAGACCCAAAGAGTACCTATTTCCAAAAACAGATCGAACCGAGCCTCCATCTTCGGTGCCAGCATCGCCGGTACCCGACTTGCAAACAAGCCTCCAAGGTCGCATCTTCTGGCCGGCCCATGGCTTGATTGTCCTTGGACCCATTCCTGAGCCGCACAAGGTTGAGAGCTTGAAAACTGTTGTTCCCTTCAAGTACGCCTGCCTCCAGACTGCCTCCAGGGATCAATATCCATCACCAACTGGCACACCACATATATCAGCTTGACCTTTAGCTTCAAGTGCTGAGCTTCCTTCTTGTCCACGAGCAGCTCGAACCGCCGCGCATTCCATCGAGCTGATATCAACAGCCAATAGACGACGACAGCATATCCTGTATCACCGCTTAGGACGCAGCTGCACAGTGTGGTCTATCCTCACGAAATTTTTGGCCGCACCGAGTGTGTTGTCAACGACGACTCGAGCTCACACAGGCCTACACGACTCCTCTGGTAGCTCCCGTTGGACGTTCTCGGAAGGCCAGCGCGAACCCTGTGTGTTGAAGGCTCCTCTGGCTTGCACTGCGGATTAGCCATTGCAACCATCCCCAGCAATGGCTCTTGAGGCACCCTTGAGATCATCGACTGGAAGTTATCAATCGATCTACTCCCCATACACAGAGATGTCACTCTCGGCGGGTCCAGATTCCCCGCTGCCTGCTCAGTATATGGCGTACGACTCCCTCTCTATCGATTTCCAGCCCAGTCATACTAACTGACTCTTTCAACTTCAGCTCCTCCTCGGCCTCCGATTCTCAGTCACTACGCCCTACTTCCTACATTAGACCCAACTCGGCACATCTACTCCTAAGTCCAACTAGCGACATTGTTGGCCCATCTCCGGTGACATCAAATGGTACCGAGACCACGGAGATTGAAGACGACGAGGCAGAAGAACATGCTGGGCAAGGGCAAGGCAAGCATGGTCATCAGTCGGTTAGTCCAGCCTCCTGGCGTGATATTGAGCTCAATCTCCGATGCTGACGAAAGAAGCTTATGATGCTGCGGACGAATCTACCGGACCACATGCGGAAACCCATGGGTGATGAGGTTGTCTCTGTGATACATGCGCCACCAAGCTTCGAGAATTGGGTACGTTTCCACGCACACATCAACGTGGATAGAATGTAATGTTGACTCGAACTGGGGACAGAAATCCAATGATAATTACTCCAGATCAAGCCTCTCGAGATCTATCAGCGCTGCCAGCGCGGAAAGTAGCACTATTAGTCCTCCGGCCAGCGAAGCCTCGGCGGTATGCATAATGCCTGCTTTAGTAATGGAAATATCGCTAATTAAAACCTAGGCACAATCCCCCCCGACTCACTCCCTCCCGATGGTCAACACGAACGTGAAGCCGGTAGCATTCGGCTTGGATGCACCGACACCCCAGGCTCAAAAGTTGGAAGATGTCTTCGCAAACGAGAGTTCCAGATTGAGATCTAGCACAGCGAGTAGCTTAGAACGTGAGTTTACGCATGTCACTTGCTCAGAAGCGCCCGGCTCATTATTTACAGTCATACCAGAAAGCCACGAAGGGGATGAGCGATACGAAGATGCCGATGATTTCCTCACTGCCGAAACCACACCGAGCGAACAGACGGAGATTCAGGCCCTTTCAGCAGCTCTAGAAGAGTGCTGGACACTTTGCAATACTCTTGCGAACCTCAGTTCCATACACCGTGAACGTGTATTCAACAGCTCTGGTACCCCGGACGCTCATGAGAAAGCGTGGAAGAGCTGTTGGAAACTCTGCAAAAGACTTTATCAGAGCAGAAATGATTATCCCGAGTCTCACAACATTGCCCGGACTAACCTAGATCTTTGCCGCGACTTTTGCCAGTCATTGTTCGATGTGCGACAAAAGCAAGACGAGGTGGCTGACTCAATATTAAGAGTAAGCTTTGAGTTAAATAACCAGTAAGGAAACCTTGTCTTATCATGCGCATTACAGTTGCTAACACGTTACACAGTCTGTATAGCGCTCAAGACACTCGAAGCCTTCCCGAGGCGTTTAGGGAGCGGACCTTGGACTTTTACATCACATTATGTCACCGACTCATGAAGCAACGAAACGATTCCCCCGAAGAGACGGACCTGCTTCTTCGAGCTTGCTGGGCGCTGGCGGAGATGTTGTTTAGCCTTCGGCAAAACCGTCGTGATGGTAAAGCCCCTGATGCAGAGCTTTTAGGATCCGCAGTCCAGGCGTGCTGGGAATTGTGCGATATCTTCCGGGAGGGTTGGACGCAAATCCGACCTGATCGAGGAACACCCCGACCGAGCCACATCAACTTCTTCTCCCCTGGAAGCTATGGGCTACAAAACCTCTCATCCAACCACCAGTCCGATTCCCGATCTAATGCCGGCAGCCGCGCCTCAATCCGCTCGAAACGTGAAAGCCTCCGGAGCCTCGGCGACCTTACAGATCGACCACGGCAAAAGGCAATTATACCCGAAACCCCAGTCACCGAGTTTGAAGACACACCAGTCTCGCCAGATGCCAGCCCCCAGATGCCTAACATCATGGTACTCGGGCCATCGAACGACCGCAGCGACTCGCGTGGGGGGCGCTGGTCGAGCAGTGCCTCGAATCTTTCGGGATATAGTCAGAGCAGTCAACACACGTCTAGCACCGCCACCACTGCTACTGCCACCATTGACGACATGAACATCACCCGCATCAAAGTTCTGATAGTCAAAGCTGCCATGAACATCGGTTTCAGTCGGGAAACTGCGGCAGTGGACGGTAAAGGCGGCTCTGCGGCCTTGCAAACATTTGTCAAAAGCTTGCCTATGGGATCTTTCGGCTCGTTACCGATGCATGCCACGTTATTGCAAAACTACAAGAATCTGGTGCTGACCGATTCCGCATTCCGATCCTCCGCTAGTCTTCCGCCTCGAGGGAAGCGCATCAGCGCCATCGAAATTGCGAAGAGCGTCAACTGGATGACGATGAGATCTGGACAATACGGGTTTTTGAAAGATCTCTTTAGGCTTGTGTTTGGCTTCCAGATTGAGGATGCTGACAGCAGAAAGAATGCTTCTGTTACGGTTTGAAAGCTGCTTTAACTAGTTACTGGAACTGAAGAACCTGGGCACGGTGCGGTAAATTCGGGACGATACACTTCGACCTTCTCGCATATTCGCCTCAATATCGAGCACAGTTGGGTGGTATTAGAGGCCTTTGCAGATATCGATCGCTTCAATTACAAGCAGGCGGGATACAGACAATACCCAACCTACGATTTCAGCAACCAACTCGTCCCTTTGCCGTGTTGGCATCAAGGATGACGGCCATGGTCGAACGTGTCAAGGCACTAGCCCACTTCTCTACATAAAACCGCCTCTGGCTCACATCAACAGCCCACATAACGGGCAGAATATATGGATTTATCGTCTACTTGGAAGCAAGCTACCTCCTTCGTAGACCTATCTACAACACAACAACATGGCCTTGGACATCAACTATGTGGCCATCCAACATACCTCGATTGGCCATTTAGCGAACCAACCCGGTTTTCATATCAAGGATGAACTACCATTCTGTACTTTTTCTCTTGGAAAGAAATCCTCAATTTTGAACATGTCAGTCACTGTTTACTACCTCGACTCTGGAAATCCTGGTGTTAGGCGCTTGGTGGTTGTCCCTTTGTGAAACTGTAGCCTTGATTCATAACCGAAATGATTCGGACGCTATATACCCATACCCCCTTTACTTGTTGGGGGAGGTGGAACAAAGGGCGGGTGCATCGGGGCGTGATCTTGGATCTTGTGGCCTTAAACAACATCACCAAAGCTGGCCAATGATATTTCGCTTGTATCTTGATTTTGATGAAACATTGTTCGCCGCCATATGCTCAGTTCCACGTCAATAATGTTGGTTTACTCATTGCCTGAGCGTCCGTGTTGTCGAAATGTCACACGCATTTGGAGATTAGAGAAAAATTGATGTTCATGGATGTCAAGGAGAACCGACGGAGGGAAGTGCAAGTGAAGTTCAACGTCTGCTCCTTTCATATGAAGCGAGTGTCAGAGGTATGTATCGTCGTAGTTAAAGATGACATGCAATCTGAGATCAGCACGGCACACCACGACATGCATGAAAGGCCATGACAACGATAGTGAACCGATACGCTGCCGAATTCAGGTAGAAAGATACGATAAAAACCATATCGGCTTTATGAGTTGATCATTCAGGTCACTTCAGGCACCCTCCATCTGTTGACGATGAGGAGGAAAGGAAGGTAGGATGATCGGTGGCTTTGGGCCCGTTTTCCAAACCTCAAGTACATCTCCTGTCCGTTATACAGAATATAGATACGAATGGCATAGGTTTACGTCCGCTTCGGCATGGACCGCGTTTTGCTACGACGATAACGCGGGTCTCTGTTCCGCTGGTGAGCCCACAGCAATTTGACACCAACCGTCAGAACGCAGGCCACCCATACTCGCTTGTTACGAACAAGAAACCATTGCGGGGACTGAGATACCTGGCCTCACGCAGCTGTGCTCAAAGAAAGGCGCGACCAGCAAATGATGAACTGAAAGCTGCCAGAATGACAAATCAGCCCTCGGCCGGCAGGGCGCAGAAGATTACCACGACCACAACAACATCGTTAAAAAGCAAATACAAAACGACAGGATTCGAGTCCGCACAGCTCAAAGGGTCGCGTATCTACTACGAGGACATGGGATATGGTTCAGCTGATCGAAAGAGCAACAGACGGGTGACTGGCTTGCGACAGGCTTGCGAACCACTTCCGCCATTACTTGGGTATTAAGTAGGGGGTTGAGGAAAGGTCCCGCCACCAAACCACACCACAACCCCGAGGTAGAGCTCGAAGAGCCAGAGGACAGCTGGTTGACAAGCAGCATCGACACACCAAGTCACCAACAGGCGCTTCACAACCCGAAAGCACGACCTACGGAAGACAAACGTCATGACGGAGTTCCGGATGACAGTTTCCGAGTGGGGTGATAGTTGTGAATGGAAGCAGAACGGGGGGTCAGCAGTGTGGTTTTATTGACGGAGCTCGTGAAGCAGACTTGAGTGGACCCCGTAGTACCCAGGTCGATGTCGAGGAGTTGTGCATGATTCCCTTCGCCGTTGGTTGTAGGGCGCTATGGGTAGATGACGAAGGTGCATATCGCTTCAACGTAGGAGAAGGGCGACAAATAACGAACTAGTTCTTCCTCGCATCCCGAGCTCGCAGCCCAAGTTTGCAATGAAAGGGGTGGTGAAACCTCGTCCTCGACAGAGTAATCGGAATCGAATTGTGCAGTCCATCCTCCTCTCGAAAGGGGAGTAACGGGCATGCACGCTGCGTATTGCACTCAAGTGATTTCATTCACAAGCTTCGTAATGGCCCTCCCAGAGGAAACGCTGAAACTATCCCCGATCGCAAGCGACCAGAGGAGCTCAGCGCCCTGCTTTTCTGATGCCAATTACAGACGCGAGGATCACGCGCAGACCGTTGCCGGCAGAGCCAAACACCAGGTGGACCTGATGATTATAGGCTGAAGGTGAAGCGATTTCTCCGAATTTCTCATATGCCTGATAGAAAGTGTTTTCCCGAAGGAAAAGGTGTGAAAGACACGCTTGCGCGAGTCTCTCCGTTCGTAGCATAGAAACGCAGCGTTGAAGAGGACGAGGCTTCACGAGGAGAGGAAAAAAGGGAAAAAGAGAGGAATGTGGAACAGTCTCGGAAAATTGTTTGGGGTTATAAGAGAAAAAGAATTGAGGCTCTGTGCCGTTAAAGGCTCGTCCAATGAGATGTACGCTTTGTCCCAAAGGTCCACCCAGAATTGCGGATGCTGAGGCAGCGGGCAGCTGCTGCCGCCTGGGGCTTGGCGCACTGATAGCTTATCGAGTTGATAGCGGATGGATGACCCTTGCCATCCACGGAGTCCTGCGTCAAGCACTTGGCGCCTTGGCGGGACTGTCTCCACCGATCTAAGAATCCTTGTCTGAACTAACCTAGTCCCACTCGCGTCGTTCAGTTGAGAAACCGGGACAAGACCTAGAGGACCGAGAACAAAGAGGCACCAGCAACATCGGGTTTCTTCAAGAAAAGCGAAACATCATGGGTGTGGGGGCCACCGCCTGCGACCCTGGTCCTATCACGGCCTCACCCGTCGTTCTTACAGGTTCCGGGGCATGTTGCCCCTGGAGGGAACAACGTTCACAGGGTGACAGGGACCAGCCAGACCGTCCCCCGGTTTTTGTGATGACCTCTCACGTTCCCAAATTCCCTAGGTTTGCCGCGCCAGAACGGGGAAAGGCGAGTGGGAAAAAAAAAAAAAAAAAAAAAAAAAGCTGACATGGTGAGACACTTTTTGGGTAGGGGTACCTAGGCATATGTTTGATAACATGAAGATACAACCCAAACGACCTGTTCACATCTTCGGCCGTCGTCCTTAAACATTATCTCTTGTCTCTTTCTTGCTGGTTCACTTTCATCGACTTCGTTTCTTTCTTCGCCGTGTGTCTCTCCTATCTCACCCTCTCGCCTTCTCCACCTCCTACACTCCAGTACCTACCGCCCTGCCCTCTCTTGGCCTTTCTTTCCCGAGCCGAACGAATCAACAAGTCGAAGATGACGGTATCCCCAGCACCCGAGGAGCTCCCTCATCTCTGGCAGAAGCCAGCCTACGCCACGCTTCTCGACGTTCTTCAGCGTCTCCGTCAAGAGCCTCGTATCTGGGGCCTCAAGGAGTCTCGGGAAGAAATTCTTAAGGCGCAAGCGGCTAGCATGGCCGAGGTGGCCTTCAACCGGCAAGAGATCATCTCGTTCCTCTCATCCATTATCAAGAGCGGCTTGCCATGGCTTGACAGCGACGAACAGCGGGAGGACATCTGGGAGGAGGCTAGTAGGCGGTTGTCGGAAAGGTGTGGTCGGACAGGTATGTGCAAAGAGTTCTTAGAGGGAGAGGGGACTTTGGGTCGTCCCAGAAGGGCTGGATATGAAAGGTCTTATGAAGCGATTGGATGGTGTGAATGAACGGTAGTATTGATGATTTATGGGGCTTTCCGCATCTTGTAGCAATGGGCGAAATCATACGCCGATGGCCCTTCCGGGATGAGAAGAACGTGTCGTCTGAATGCGGCAGCGACTTCGACCTAGCCATTCGCGAGCCTCCCCTGACTGGCGATTCCCTCGGTCTCAAAACCTGGGGATCATCGTACGTTCTCGCCCAGCTTCTCCCGCACTTTTCGGCTGGTCCCTTGGCGCACCTCTTTCTAGGAGACGAGCCTCTCGACGTACTGGAGCTCGGGTCTGGCACCGGCCTTCTGGGTATAGCGGCCGCCTGTCTCTGGAAGGCCGACGTGACCCTGACCGACCTACCCAATATCATCCCCAACCTCTCGCACAATGCTGAGCTCAACCGGGAAACAGTGGAAGCGCGCGGGGGAAGAGTTGAGGCGGCTGCGTTGACCTGGGGCAGCGATGACTATGAGGGGGAAACTCATCCGCGCTTTAGGGAGTCAAACCGCTACAAGGTCAGTTTGCCGTTCATCTATGAATATGACAGCAATGTGTTGTCAGTTTAAGAAAGCCGTAACTGACTTCGTCCAACAGCTCATCATTGTAGCGGATCCCCTCTACGATGACCATCACCCGGAACTCCTCTCCTCTGCCATCAATACACAGCTCTCCCTTGAGAGTGACGCCAGATTATTGGTCATGGTGCCCCAGAGAGACGAGACCACGAAGGGCTTGACCCAGTCTCTCCGTTGCAAACTGGAACAAGCAAGCAGTCCCCTGACGTTAGTCGAGGATGCTATCGCTTCTGGTGAGGACGATTGGGGTGTGGGAGAGACGGATGAGACTGATCGTGTTGGGTTTTGGTGGGGGGTTTATCGGCGAGAGAAGTCTTCTTGGTAATTATCGGCTGCATGCTATAGTTGAGAGAGCGGCGGGAATTGAGAAAGCTGACACCGCTTTGGGTGGTTTTTAGTCGGTTACAAAGCTTTGAACAAGACCTAATAAACATATAGATACAAGATATATGTAGATAGATTGCTTATAGACTAAAATGTTTGTGTTGAGAGGCTTCTTTCAATGAACAAATCACTTTGAACATACAGGCACACAAGGAAAGACAGCATCTCGATAAACGAGATAACATGGATTTGCCCGATCCATGTAGATGTCCTCATGATTATGATAACAAACAACTACCTGACCGCTTGGCAAACGATTGAACAATCTGATCTCGAAATAGACCGTTGTTCATCACCCGCACAAGCCAACGCTGCTTATATTCCATGTAGTAGAACCTGGGTAACACAGTCAATACCGCCTCTTTCCAAACCCAGTCTCAATCTCTTCTTTCCCTATCTTCAATCACGCCCAAGATCAGATCGTGACATCCTCTCGCCAATATTATTCACACACTCGCACTATACTTCCTCCCGTCAGAAATCCGTCACCACCACAACGTGAACTTCGTAACCCGTGGCCTGTCTCCTATGCACAAAAAACCGCTGAAGTGAAGCTACAAGGAAAAACAGGCTCAAGTGTCCGGATATACGCGCAACCTAAAGTATTTTCAATAGTGATAACCCTTCGCGGGAAATCATCAGCACGCTTCAAACTCGAACAGACAAGATCATTCGACCGCCATACCTACTGACACTGTTGTGCTTGAGACAAGACAGGGCTGTTTCTTTCCCACCAATACCTGTTTTGTCCCGTTTCACCATAGAAAGCTCCGGCCAGGTGAACAAGAGACAACGCACCGAGCTAAACGAGGCATAACCTTGCCTGTCTTGGCCGAGTCACGGGGAGAGGAGGAAAGGTACTGCAGAGGAATGTGCAACCGTAACGGCGCCTTCTCCAGTGCGTAGCCGGTCTGTTGCTCGCCACACCTCACCATGGAATGAAATTGAAATCTCATTCAGCCAGCCATGCGACGGCATCGTTAGCCGGCTGGGGCCTCTAAACCAGACACTGGTAGCTTTCGATCGAGAGAACTTGCCTGACTATCTGTATTCTTCTTTTCGACGAGCATGGTGGGGTTGAGCTTCATGTTAGCAAATGACCTGCGTGATCGCCAATAATGACATTGAGTTCTGCCAACTTCGCCCACATGTAAGGTTCAACGAGCCGCTCAAACTGCGAAGAAGACGAGGAAGAGAACGACAGAAGAACCTAGGTGGAGACAATGTCCAGATCGAGTGGTGGTTGGGTCCCCCCCGCCATCGCCCGGGATCTCACCAAAGATCAAAGTGGAACCGACACTGGTCCACCTTCGGCTTGGCGGGGGCGGCCGCAGATCGGTGAATGTCTTCTCCCCGCAGAAAGTCCAGGTCGCCGGTTCAATACTCAAATTTCACTTGTGCTCCCCTTCCGTCAATTACGTATCCTGACTTCCAAATTGATCACATGTAGTGAAGAGTCGAAGAACTTCTGTCTGATGCCCGCCATCACCTCTACTAAGCACGATTACGGTGCACTAAGGACGGAATAAAAGATGGTCGGTCAAGCTATGAGCTTCACAATCACGGTGAAGAAACCAAGATGAAGAAATGCCAGAGTATCTCATCGGTCAGATGACTGACGAAGCCCGCTTCGACTCCGGAAAAGAACGCACGAGACATACGTATGCAAGGTACACAATACATAAGTAGGAAAATGTAGAGCGTACGTAGGTAAGTAAGACACGCATGCTAGAGAGGTATGTAATGCTACCCACCTACCCACCCCCTCCCATGCCGCATTTCCAGTAGGGAGACTGACGGTAAGGGCAGTAGACCTACATCCTAAGAAAGGTCGAGTCTATATATCGTATCTTATGATCACATCTTGCCATCTTTGCTTCCGCTAAGCTTCTCCTACGATCTGGCGCTGGGGTATGTTTCCTGGACATTTCTAACAATCCACCCCCGTTAAGATGGGCGCTAAACTCCTAGCTAGACAAGGGGAAATCGCGGGGAAGCAGGGGTGAATTAACCACGGTGATCCGCTTGGGATTAGGAACGGGAACAAATGTTGCGCCAGTGACGACAACAACCCAGGAACTACCTAAGCGAGAAACCGATCGGTGCCTTACCTCTAGGTATATCCACTTGATGATCGCAAACGGGAAGAGCACATGGCATGGTTCTCATTAAGACCACGCGCGAGTTGGGAACATGTCCCGGAAGTAGAAGCGGTTTAATCGGTTTCAGGAGAGTAAACACATCGGGAACAACAACCGAACCATGAAGGACAACGTAGTTTGCCAGAACGGTTGAGCTGTAACATGTAGTACGATGTTCGTTTCTTCAATCGAACATGTTTTCTTAACACGTTCCGCTCTGCTTTGCTCTGGGTTGCCACTTGCCTATATGATATTAGTTTCTATTATATAATGTGTACTACGCGAACGTATCAGCTTGTCAAGGAAGTGTGTGCAAGCACTGACTACATACGACCTTAAAGACAGGTTACAGTAAAAGCAATATTCACGCCTGACGAGTCTGACAAGAATAGGCTTGACAGTCAAATGGGATGTGCGCTATGGCGTATGCATACCATGATTCCTGCCTATTTTTTCTTAGCCTTTCCAACCGAAGCAGTTGTTTCCCAAATATCAGGCAGCACATCTCCCTTTGAGATGCCAAACAGCTTTGCCACACGGGAGCTATCAGTTATAGCCATGAGAAGAGTGAGACGGTGGGACATACTATGGTGATATGGGTAAGTTTAACCCGTGGGCCAGGTCGTCGACCACACAGTGCTCACGAAGCGTTGGCTGTGGTGGTCCGTGCCAGGTACGTGACAAGGGGGTTTTACTTTGGCTCGCAACCGCAGTACAATTCGTGGGGGCGTAAGACCTCATTGCAACGACCAAGCCAGGCTTTTTTGTCCGAAACAGGGAGACTCCGGGAAACATCTATGCAGCGAAGGAAAAGGTACCGCATGTAAATGAATATCACTTTTTGCTGGAAAAAGTAACACGCATTGTTGCAACTCGAGCAACTCTGTGGTCGTCTCCCCTTTGGTACTCGTTCTTCTTACAAGCACATGATGTGGTGAACGCTGACACCACGCCTAGGTTACATCTTGAAGATAAACGTGAGATGATGCAGTGTGTGAAAGTGTGTTGTGCGAGCTAAAACCCTTATACCACCCAGTGCCTGAAACGACAGGGGCAAGCCGGCAATGGCGATGAATCAGCACGCAACTGCGGTGATGTGCCGTTGGAGAAGTCAAAATGACCCTAGAAGCCCAACGGCGTACCAAGCCTGCCAAGCAATACATAACATCCTGGGCTACATTGTCAAGACGATCACACGGTGATCACGCCTCTGTGATAGGTGCATGTAGGTAAACAGATGACATGAGTTGGCTTTTGGCCAAGGAAAGTGATATGAAAAAGGCAATGCTGTAGTGTATACTACAAGCAAATCCTTCAATCATTGCTCTTCAAAATTCTGGTCCATCCTAGGATGGCAAGACACGCAGAGAATCGGTTCACTGCAATCTGGAGAGTTAACATACCCGCATATATTCACTCAACTTACGATTTGTCATGATACCCAAAGTAGGGTTGTCGTTTCTGCTGCGCAGAAGTATTTACGTTGCAGAACAAACTAGACGATTGTTTTTCTCCCCTTTCCAGTCAGCCCTTCCGCTCACCGTCTTGCCTACCTATCCGCTATGAAATAGCAAGCCACAGGCGAGATTCCAGAGCGCGAGATAGGCGACGAACCGGGTGAAACGCCTTCCTTTTGTGAAGCTCACTAGAGGTACCCTAGCACAAGTCGAGGTTGCGGCACTGGCGTGTCGTACATCTAGGTAAAGCGTATGGATGCTACGCCAGACACTCGAACCATACCATCATCGCGGTAGGGATAGAAGGGGGCGATCACCCTCCATTTCTACCCGATCCTTCTCCTCTTGAAGTCAAGTCCCAAAGGTTAGGGTCTTCCCAAACGCCGGTCCTTAACGTCAGCCGCCACGACCACTACCGATGAGCCAAGTAGTTTTTAACCTGAGTAATATATCTCGATTCAGTTTCAACCGCTTCCTCCTGTCTGGCACTTGGAAGAGTTGTGCCTTGTGCGACCCAGTGAGCCAGGAGCCCACTGCCCTCTAGGCTCCCCGGTTTTTTATCAAAGGGCTTGCCTACTGTATACCTATGTGAGGTAGGTAGAGGCAAGTTATATCATCCTGCTGCGCTGTACTTTTCCGGGCACACGGCACACGGCACACGGGGCACACCGTTCGTCGACTTGTCCTTGGTCCTAAGCCCTTTGGGTGTCGTGGGATTTCTGAATGATTAACTAGGGACCTGGGGGAACACCAACTCGTGGGTCCTTGCGGTGGGTGGGTCGTGATTAGGTATGCGGTGTAGCTAGAACTGCGTGGTTCTGCGTTCCTTGAATTGGCAGGGAGGTCGCTTGCGTTGAAGTTGAGATACAGATAAGTAGAAATAGCTACGGCGCACGCTTGTTTGGGCATCACTTCTCGCGCAAACGACTCGGATTTCGGGATAGCGATTTGTGAATCTTTTTGAGATTTGTTTCAACTTTCGATTACCTAGTTGACCTCTATCAATCAGGCGAGCCTGACATTGGTTGTTGTGAGGGACTGCGCGGTTTGACAGATGAGGAAGCCAGGGACTCGCCAGGGCAGCAGCGATATGGAGTATTGCTTACTGTGTAGGTTCAAGGTGGACACTTTCACAAACCCGGACTGACGTAATTTTCCGCTGGCCATGTACGCAGTATGCTTCTTTGGATTTGTATAAAGAGACTGAGACTATGGCATAGCCGCATGAGCAGGATAGGCAATTAGCGCATCAATGACAGGTCCAATTTAAACCCCCAATGGATTTTCTCAAGCGCGGAGAATAACATCAAAGTTTGATTGATATTCAGGCCATGAAAAAGCCGATCCCACCACCCAACAACAAGGAAAAAAAAAAAAAAAAAAAAAAAAAAAACGCCTCTTGCGCGATTACATCGGAAAGGCTTGCTGATAAAACCCTCCGGGTTGAGAACGCCCACGATTCACTTACCAGTCGGCTATTTTGCGTTAAGGTGCCGGCTGCTGCCTCATGTCTGCAGCCCTGAACCACGAGTCTCGCCGCAACAGAACGCCGCCAACCACTCTCCGTCTTGGGCACTTGCGAGCATCGCGGAGGCCGTCTCAATTCCTCTCAACAGTATACACGGCTGAATATTCAACTTGAAGTGAAAGAGTTCTCATCGTCGTTCCCAAATTGCTTCCTGGGGTCATCTCTCAGAGCATTGTATTAGATCAATGGGATCTGGGTTGCGAGGGATCGGTGCCGCGGCACAGCACTATGTCACTGGTCGGCGGGTATTGTGTGTGTGTGAATGGGCGGATGATTTTCATCGCTTGGAGCGGATTGCCCCGAAAGCGGGATCGGCTGGGGTTCCGGGCCTAATGAAGAGAAGCTCCTTGCTGTGAGCCTACTACTATTTACACTACTAGTAGTGTAGAGATACCCGGACCCCACCATCCAGTGAGATGCGAACTTGTGTTCGTCGTCAGCACGAAGAATCAAGCATGAGGAAGAGGGTATCATTGCTGAAAAATGCTGGGTCAATATGGCATTGGATTCTTGGGAGCGTAGTTACAATAGATTACTCGCCATTCTGGTGGTGACAGAATTGCAAAGGGGTTTTGCCAATTTCCACGCAAGTTTGAAAGCGCCGTGATTCAGAGGCCTCAACAGTTAGTTGGCTGCAGTGGGCCCTCTGGAACTTGGCGAGCCAAAATAGGTACAGAGCCGCGATGAAACTTGGCGGCCGGGCAAGGCCAGAGCCACAAGCAACTTGCACAGTTTTAAAAGGCTGTTGCAGTACGTTGTAGGTGTTTTAAGTAGGATACCTCTATCCACCATCGATGGTTTCCATTGTGTTTGCACCCTGTGTTGGAGCAAAGAGGCAAAACTGATATGCATCACCGCGAGACCCATATGGATGGTACTCTAGGCTCAAAGGTCGACAGTCAGACCACGCTTGCCTGAGAGATGTGCGGAGTGAGCTAGGCAAGGGCATGTAGACCCGGCAGAGCAGGAAGCGAAGCAGCTGCTTCGTGCTTCAGGAAGGCAAAAAATGCCGGCGTCCGTATGACTTGGTGATTCTCGCTGGCCACCTTGCGACTCGGAGCTGCTGTTGACTTGATCATCGTCGATGGTCCTTAGGGGGATTCCAAAGCCAAAATCAACGTGTGGGTGTTACGTTAACATGCAAAAGGAACAGCGGAGGAAGCGATAGCCGTACCCCCGTCCCGCACAACGGAAGAGCTGATCAGGACATCCATCGAACGTGAGCGTGGACGACGGTTGGGTAGCATTCGCAAGTCCAAACTAGTGTAGAACACAAGTTCCGGTCGTTCGCCCTGCAAGCCCACGTCGAGGAAAGATCCCTCAATTGATGATGGCCCAAGAAAGACCCAAAGGGTACCTACGCATGTACTTCTTGCAACCATTGTCCGTTCCTTAGGTGGTATTGTCGTATCCTCCAGTACAGGCCCGGTATATACCGGCCTTGGTGCTCCGCTACCTACCGTACATTCCTATATAGCCAATACTACTCATAGCAAAGAAACCAAAAGCCGACGGAAGAGAACAGCGCCAGGCGTGAGTCTGACATGCAAAACATGGCTGTTCCTTTTTGTTCTTTTCTGTGTCGATTCGCAAATGCGGGCATGATGCCGGGCTTTGAGCTGCTCTGGCGCATGCAAGTTGCTGCTCACCCGCAACCCCTGTCCCCTGTCAGACACGAGATGGCTCTTGGCCAAGAGTGGTGAGTGATTCTCTCCCGTCTCTTTGTGAATGGCTTGAAGCCTTGACTTGGAGAGGACTTTGCGCAGCAAGAGTGGAAGCGTCAGAGAGGAGGGAAGAAGTGCTGTGGCCCACCTCGCGCATCGCCAGCTCTATTGTTGCGTGGCTCCGTGGGTATGCTGCCTGGCGGTGCCCTGAGCTGAGGTGGCTCGTGGCTGGACATTGCAGTGAGGATTGAATGGGGCGGCCCACCGTGTACCTGGCGATACCGCCTTACCTCAGACCACATCACTAGAGGTACGTAGGGGTCGTTCAACTGTACCGGACCAATTCCACCTCTAGAATATACTTCTGCTTTTGCCTGTCCTCTGGTTTGCGCCAGTCACATCAAGCCTTGTGTTGCGTCATTTGCCTTTGCGCCATTAACAGCAGATTGGCAGCAATCCCAGGTTGCCGCAGCAAAAAGAACCAAACCATACTCAATCGCAAGAGGCAGAAGTTTAGGGTGAAATAAAGGGTTGTGAGAGCCGCGGCCCTGGTCACGACTGGCCGACAACAAAGGGCGGATGAGGTGGTCCGTTGTAGTGTAGGTATGTCGCAAGCGCTGCGGTTAGGCTATTTCCAGCCTGCCAGCCCAAGGGAAAGTACCACTGCCCACATTGCACCTCAGATGGAGTGAGGGAAAATACTTTACACTGTCCGGTCGTTGTGAGCCCACCCAGGCTAGCGTGATTCCTGCCTTTTGAGTTACTTCCACTTCGTTTCGTTCCCATCCGCCCGTTCCATGGATGTGTACTTTCGATCATAGCAGAAGATCCATCGAGGTACCCCGTGCACCCCGTGCTCCCCGCACGCCCCAGTAGGACCAGGGCACCTCTTAGCACTTGTACACCAAAAGTGTAACCCGGCTGCAAGTGTTTTCCACACTAGGCAAGAGGTACCTACCCTTCTGTGAACAGGGTGGGTACCTATCCTCCTGCAACCACTTCCATTCTCCACTCTCACCACTTCGCTTCCACTCCCAACCTGTCTCCCGTCCTTGACCTCCGCCCTCCCTCTGCCAGGTTCACGTTCTCGTCGGCCGGGTTCTCTTCCACGTTACGCCGTGCTTTAGTCAAATCGTCCTCCTTTCGCTCGCCTGCCTGTCGTCGACTGATGCTGTCGTCCAGGGCCAGTTGCTGTCACTCTTGGGTGCCTCGCCTCTGCCTCTCTTGTGTGCGCCTTGTCACTAGGTAATTCGACTTCGGTTACGGCTTCCGCCCCGTTCTCGCTTGTGTTAGCCTTGAAGGTTCGCTGTTGTCATTCCCCCTCACGCCGCCCTTTTCATCCGAGAGCACGGCACCCTCACCGTCCGCCTTCTCTTCCTTGCAACTTCCCGGGCCGTTGACGTTGAATCTTCCCTTGCTCTCGCCTATCGGCTCTTCTAAAAAAAAAACAAAAAAATCAAGTCTAACACCCGGGTGCTTGTTCAAGTCGCATCTTACCACATCCGACGACGATCGACCCCCTGGTCCCAAGCCCAACGAGTCCACGCGAGGACGATGAAGCGAAACCCAACACCCTGCCCATCCGCTCATTGAGTATACCACTATACCGTACCATACGACACTCGGCGATCCTCAGAAATCCGTCACAAGTTTTGGCGCTGGACAATTATTCCGCACAAGACCTCAAGCCACCGCTCCAGTGCGGGAACCCCGCCGTATCTAGCATCGGGTCATACACATAGGAGTAGCGAAGGAGGAGAGAGCCTGTAGCAGGAAAGACGAAAGACAAGAGGAGGGATTGTGGTGGACGCGCATTTGTGCTCGAGTGAATCTATCCAAGATGTCGTTGGCAATACCCGACAATGGCCTTCTCCTTGAAGGTCCGACCGAAGCAGCAGCTCGGCGATCGACGCACGCATTTGCGGTGCCCTTGTCCGCTGAACTCGTTGCGCAGATGATTGAGAGCGCACAGAATGGGGGCAAGCTTCAGTTGTCACTGAGTGACGATCCGGTAAGTTTGTTGAGCCTCTCGTCACCTTGCCCTCAGATTATTCAGGAATAGATGCATGGTCTATTGCTATTGTACCTGCCACTCAAGAGCGCCTCGGTCTTTACCCCAAACCCAGAACATGTTCAATACTCAATAGCTGTTCAGTCTATTGTTGTGTTGCCGTCCTACCCCGCGCCTCTTCTGCCGGCTCTCCTCCCCACCTATCCTCATTCCTTACTCACCGTTAACCGTTTCACGCCAGGCAATCCTCATTGAAGATCAGGAAGTACCTCTCCAGCCCGAGCTTTCAACAGAACCAGTGGACTACGAGTTGTTCTACACCAACCCAAACAAGCCATCTAGAGGTCAACGAGTCTTGGGACCAGTCATGTCAATCTTTGACTACTACAAAAGGGCCAAGGCTCGCAAGGCGGCTCAAACCACCAAACCTTCCAACGGTATCGAAGGGGCAGTTGAAAACCTAAAGAATTCCTTTGCCAAGGTTGAGGCAGATAAGCGAGAGAATTCGTACGTGTTCCCAAGGTGAACCACTCGTGAGCCTGTGACTAACATGGTCTCTAGCGCTTTGATCGTCGAGGGACTGCCTTCCAAAAAGGGTGCCAAAATCAACCCTGGCAAGGCAAGACTCCTGGGGTCACAGACCAATGGCACGTCTCGGTCAATTTCTGTCAGTCCTGCGTTGAGTGGGCTTGGTTCACCTTCCCTGGGTCCTACCAGTAACGGCCCTGGTGACCGATTGAAGCAACAGAAATTCCCCATCATCCACGAGCTTGCTGCCCAAAACCTAACATTCGAGGAACTTCTTGAGAGATACGACGGAGATGAGCAAGAATTCCACCCGATTCTCAACAAGGTGGCTGACTTTGACTCGGATGAGCAAAAATGGGTTCTTAAGAAAATGTACTGGAAAGAGCTGGATGTCTTTGAGTATGCCTACGCCACGGACGAAGACCGCCAAAAAGCGATCGACAACGCCATCAAACAGTATGATCGTATGCGGTTGGGTGTTTCGGATCCGCTGTGGCAGAAGTTGCTTCCCAAGGGAGAACGCGGAAAGGGTATCTGCCTGAGCAAGCTTCATGCCACTATCGCCAAGAACAGTCAAACCGTTCCGACCCCAAATCGAATCACAGGAACTGCCAGCCCTAGCGGTGCAGAGACGGAGAAGGGAGAGCCGATGTCGCGGTCCAACTCGCAGACAGGCGTGACCAAGAAGAAAGTGTCGGCTTCGGTTGCGCAGGCCAAGCGTCTTGCCACAGCAATCGCAAATGCCAAAAAGCCGGGCAGGCCGAGTGCTGCCAAGGCAACAGCTTCAAAGGTGGCATCGCCTAGGATGGCATCACCGAAGGTGGCTCCTACAAAGGTCACAGGGTCAAAGGGTCCTGCCGCTAAGGGGGGGCGTATTCTTTCCAAGGAGATCATCACGGATTCCGATTCGGACGAAGACGAAGTGCCTCTTTCGAAGAGCTTAGGAAGGACTCAAGGAGTTGCTGCGCCTACACCTGGTACTAAAAAGTCTGGTCCTCCCGTGGAGAAGTACAAGACAGCAGCAAAATCAATTGAGGCCCCAAGCCCAAAGACTAAACAGAAGCCAAAGGCCGCTCCGATCAGAACTGCTGGGAAGAAGAAGGTGGAGGAGACCAGAGATACAATTCGGGCTCAACCCATTCCCAAAACCACCAAGCCGATGGTGTCGAAACGCCCGCGGGATCCAGAGGACGAGGAAAGTTCCAGCTCCGGAACTCCGCTTAGCCAGCGTGTCAGGTCAGTGCCCAAGCCCAAAGCAAGACCTGACGCTACAACCAAATCTGGCAGCACATTTGCAAAGGGCAAGTTTGCCAGTCCCCAGAAATCTTCGCCATTGGCCTCATCTCCGCTTACCAACGCGTCGGATAACGAGGAAGATCGCCGGGCCATCGTCTCAAGGCCCCAGAAACGAGAGCGCGAGCGCGAGCGTGACCGTGAGGTTATCGTTAGCAGCGCAAGCAGCAATGCCGGCAGTGTCAATGGAGACGTTGGATCTAGAAGTAAGAAACGTCCTGCGCCGTCCGATTATGCATCCGGCAATATCGGCTCCAAGCGCCCACGCCTCGACCCAGATCTCCTCAGCAGGGCCGAAAAGTTCAAACGCGCATATACCCGGTACGAGGCATTGCACCGTGAGGTCAGTAGTGCGGAAGACCCTTCATCAGAGAAGGTGGAGAGTCTTATGCGAATGCACGCTCGACTTCAGATTGAGAAGAAAGAAATCTACAGCGCTGTCACGTTGGAGAATGACTAGGAGCTCCATGGAAGACACGACAGAAAGAGGCGAGGAAGAACTTGGGAGAGGATCAAGACGAACAATCTACAGAGGAGGATGGGTACAACTCCACATAATATTGCCAAGAGGTCTGCACATTAGAGGAGTTTTCAAGGTATGGAAGACAACAATTTGGCGTTTGGTTTCATTCCAGGAGCCCATTCACAGGGTTCGCAAGAAGTGGCAGAGGGTCCACATGACTTATGGAACAGCAATTCATACGGGTATATTATGATGGCAACCCTTATTTTTTTTTTCTTTTTTTTTTTTAGCCTTTCATTTTTCTCTTCTTTCTCTATCCTGTTTCCGGGTCATGGCCTACATACCGTCTTTCTGGTAGTTGCCGGAAAATTGGAAGAAGCAGGATTCAAAGGCCGTCTTTCTACTCTTCAGTTTACGAAGCATCAAAGGCATGGCGCAGGCATTCAAAAATACCCAATGGTTGGGCCTAGCAGGTTTGGCTTTTCAGGGTTTGGCTTTAGTTTTAACTCGCTGTCTCTTTTTTTTTTTATCTCTTTTCTTTTATCTTGCCGTGCTCTTTGGTCTAGAAAATATCTACTGGGCGACACTCAGGCGCTATTCCTGGTAGATGTAGACCTGGATACCAATTTGAGGAGGGAAGGATGGATGTACTACATTCCCCAGTCCTGAATTCTGCGGCTTTTGTCTTCTGGAGTCTTTTTATTCTTGCGATTGCAATGGTTCATCACACTTGACGAGCATAAGATCGGGAACTGACATGAGAGTTTAAGATGGGGATGGGGGGATCGGACGTGTGATTATATCGAGTCCCTTCATGCTGATAAGCAGGCAGGGAAAGCGCGAGAGAGAGTTTCATGAGAATCGTCATTGCTCGTCTTTGACTTCACAGATGGCATGATGATTTGAGAGCGAATCATGATGGTAAGCTTAGCTACCTGTGGATGGTACCAATACAG